GATGTGGAAACTCGTATCACACATATTCAACCGCAATAGTTGTATTCACAACGCATACACAGCAATATTATATATCTGGCGCACATGTCATTCGTAATTAGTTTTCACTAACGTTTTTCAACCATGTTAAAACTTTTATAAAATTTCTATATTTTAATTATTTTACTAAACATTTTATTTAAATTACATTATTTTATTTATATAATCTACATAAACTTTAGTTATTATGGTATTTACAACAAGGTTAATTTATTTCACAATTTAATACATATTTTATTTTCTATATTTTCACATTTTACATTAGACATTTATTTTAATTAAATTATATGTTTAAACAATATTTAGGCTCTGAAGATGGCATTACGCCGAAACAGCGCTGTTAGCTTTATTCCAGTTTTAGATAAATATGAACTCAAACAATACCGCCTCGTTGAATGTCTTATAAAGAAGTTAATTAATGCAAAATGGGCAAACAATTTCAATGAAATTTGCATTTCTGAAAACCTCGTTCCTAAATATATATATATATATATATATATATATATATATATATATATATATATATATATATATATATACACATTACATAGTCACATATTGTGTGTGACTTTATGTGAAGAACGGAAACTTATATAAATATAAATGAAAAAAACGAAACATATATGTATCTTCATTGTTTTTTTCAGGAATTGCTATCGATAATTGAATAAATAACTTCGTTGGGTGATCACACAATTATACTTGGTAATTTCAATATTCATGTTGAAAAATCAGATGACATACATGCTCGTCGTTTAAATAATTTGTTTAATGCATTTTCGATGAGCAATATTATAGGCGAACCGACTTGACTTAATTTTTTCTGGGCGTAATACTAAGATTTGTGACAGTACAATTTATCCTTGTGGTGTATATTCTGACCGCTGTTTAATATCTGTCTGCTTACTGATATTTCATCCGCTTGCTAAAAAAATCAAAAAATCAGTGCGCTCGTGGAATTGTGTTGATAGACAGAAATTAACAACTCAAATTGTGATTCTTTTATAAGCAAACCGTGCAATTTCATTGATGCAAATAAGGCAGCTCAGAGTTTCAATGATGAACTTGTAAGAATCGCCAATATTGTGGCGCCTGTTTATATTGTTGAAACAAAACTGGTAACGAATGCTCCGTGGTATGAGAGTGATTGTCGTAAAATGAAACGCGAGTGTAGAAGGTTGCAAAATAAATACAAAAAATTTAATAAAATAGATGATGGAGCGCAATGGATTGAGTTGATCAAAATAAAAAACAAGGTCTTTTGAGAAAAAAACAATCGTTTTGGAAAGGGTTGGTGGAGGAGAATGATATTAGGCCAAAAAAATTATGGAGTGTTTTCAATAAAATATTATGCAGGGAGTCAAATGATACTGTTTGTTGTGATAGTACTAATCATACGGCTAATACATTTGTTAAATATTTTACTAATAAAATTAAAGAAATAATAAACAAATTAGTAAAATAGCGATCAGACCCAATGTTGAAACCAAATTTTATGAATTTTCAAAAATGACGAAGAAAGATATAAGGTTTATTGTAATAACGTCCCCGTCTTCATCTTGTATGTTTGACTGTATGCCAACAAAGGTTTTCAAACAATATATTGATTATTTTTTGCCTTACTTGACGGGTATGATGAATTTGTGCTTGTCAACAAGAACTTTTTCGACTGTTTGGAAACGTTTAATCATAGTTTCCCTGTTGAAACAACCATCGTTGGATATGAATGTATTAAAAAATTTTAGACCAGTGTCCAATTTGTCGTTTGTCTCAAAAATTTTGGAACGAACAGTGTCATCTCAGTTTTTGAAATATTTGGAAGGTAAATTTTTACCACCAGGTCAATCAGGATATAGAGGACACCATTCGACAGAATCAGCTTTGTTGCGCGTTTTATCAGACCTTTTTGAAGCATCTGATAGTGGCAA